CTTTCAACGTGAGCGCAGAGTTGACCTTTGCACGCGCTCCCACAAAGGTCAGTTCTGAGCTGACCGTGCTTTGAAGGCTGCCCAGAAGTCTCCAGATTCCTGGGGCTTTCACCTTAGGCCAGGAAACCTACCTGGCCTGTCCACCCATTCCTGTGTCACAAGTTTCCCCCTCCACCCATGTCCTCCACTCTCCTCCCTGTCACTCTCTGTCCTTGCCACAGGAGTATGGGGACACTGTGTACACCATTGAGGTTCCCTTCCATGGCAAGACCTTCATCTTGAAGGTGAGTAGGGAAGGGTATCCCAGAGACACCTGCTCTGTCTGGGGTCTCCCGTCTAGAGGGGATTGCTTCTCTGGCACCACCTGGCCCTGACTCCCCTGTGCCCCCACAACAGACCTTCCTGCCCTGTCCTGCTGAGCTGGTGTACCAGGAAGTGATCCTGCAGCCCGAGAAGATGGTGCTGTGGAACAAGACAGTGACTGCCTGCCAGGTGAGTCACCCGTGTCCTGCTTGCCACCTCTTATGACATGGATCAGGGCACAGCCACACCTTCTCATCATCATTTTCCTCAGGGGCCCTAGCTTCTCTCTATAAGGTGGGTGCTGCCGGGGTTCCTTTGGAAAAGGCCAAGAGGCTAGAAGGCTCCGTGTGCTTACCTTATCCCCAGCCCTGGGCCTGCAGGTGGCTCTTAGGCCTGTGTCCCTGGCAGGGAGGAGGATGGTCTGGAGTTCCTGGGGTGCTGTCAGGGCTTCTCCTGTACCTCAGACCTCCCTGATTGGCCTTTAGATACTGCAACGTGTAGAAGACAGCACCCTCATCTCCTACGATGTGTCATCAGGGGCTGCAGGTGGCGTTGTGTCCCCCAGGTGAGCACCCAGGTCCTCTCCTCCTAGCTAGGCCCCCACACTTGGGACCTGTGTTCTAACCTCCTCCACCCCCAGGGACTTTGTGAATGTCCGGCGTATTGAGCGGCGCAGAGACCGATACCTATCATGTGGCATTGCCACCACACACTGTGCCAAGCCCCCCACGCACAAATACGTCAGGTGAGTGTGGCCTCCCTCAAGCTGTGAACAACACAGGGTACAGTGTGTACAGCTAGAACAACTCCCCTCTCACCCCCATGTCCGAGGCTGAAGTCCTGTTCTGTTCCCTGCCTGCCAGTCTCGCCCGTCCCTAATCCTGCTAATCTTGTTGCCTGGAACCATGCCGCCGCCACTGAGGCTGGGAGGGGTGCATGTGCAGCTGACTGAGTTAGTCCCAGTAGTGGGCTGAGGAGCTGGGAGGTGGTGCTGGGTTTCACCTCTCCACCTTAGCTAAAGCTGCCCTGCCCCCCCCCCAGTGTGTGGATGGAAGGGGAATGGAGTTTAGGCTCTTTTGATGCCAGAGGTAGGAGGGGTACCCTAACATGTGCACACACACACACACACACACACACACACACACACACACACACACACACGCACGCACGCGCACACACGCACACACACGCACGCGCACACACACGCGCGCGCGCGCGCACACACACACACACACACGCACACACGCACACACACACACGGCTGATCCAAGAGGTGGCCCCAGCAGCGCTCTCTGCTAGAATTTGAGATTAGGGCTCTGTCTCAGTACCGCAGTAGCCTTGCTAGGGGATGGGCAGGCTTGTGTCCTCTGTGTCACTTCTTTATCTGTGGCAGTAGCTTAAGTGTGCTCAGCAAAAAGGCCCTGGGAGGTGGCCGGCTGCCTCCTGCTCAGGCGCCCTCTTCTGGAGGCAGTGCCACCCAGGCTTGGATGGGGATGGTGAAAAGTGCTACCCTAGGCCACTGTCCCAAGTTGCAATCTGTACAGAGTGGGTGAGGACCGGGGAAGTGCTGAGCTCCGGGCACTGTGGGGTGGGAGGAAGTGCCAGCGGCCGGTGTGGTCGGCAGACTCGAGTGTCACGTGTGGGTGTGGGTGTGAGTAGGGAGCAGGCCGAGTGTTACCTGTGCCCCCTTTGCCGCCACAGCCCAGCAGGCCGAGGATGGGGTGGGTGTGGCTGGGGGACTTGCTTTGTTCAGTGCTGCCTCCCTCCTTAGGGGAGAGAATGGTCCTGGAGGCTTCATTGTGCTCAAGTCAGCCAGCAACCCCCGAGTCTGCACCTTCATCTGGATTCTGAACACAGATCTCAAGGTGAGGTCAAGCAGCAAGGCAGGCCCTGCAGAATGGAGTCTTGGTTGCTGTGTGACCTCACTCCTCTCTGCCATACTCAGGGACCCCCACTTTTAGTCTGCAAGGTCCAGATGACCTTCTAGCCCCGAGTTGTGGGAGACACGTGGCGCCCTTTCTTACTCCTGATTCCTGAGTACCCAGCAAGAATGGCTGGCTGCCAGCCCACCCCCACCTGGGTCTGTTTGTACCAAGACCTGGATACATGTTCCTCCCTCTGCTAGTAAGGGGAGGGGAGCCCAGGCAGGTTCCAGAGCTGCATTTGCCCTCTGGCCCAGGATACCCCTACTAGTGCGGGCTGCTAATGGGAGACCCTATTGAAGGCTAGCCGTGCCGTGACCTTCCTGCCTTGCCTAGGGTCGCCTGCCTCGGTACCTTATCCACCAGAGCCTTGCAGCCACCATGTTTGAGTTTGCCTTTCATCTGCGGCAGCGAATTGGAGAACTGGGGGCCCGAGCCTGAACGTGTTCCCTTGCCACCCTGCGGGCCAGGGTTCTGTCGCCATAGCCTCCAGAGCCGGAAAGAGGGACTGTTTGGGCTTCCTGCTGCTCATGAAGGATGACGCTGAGCAGCGGTGGCACATCATTCTCTGGCTGCCCCCCCCCCAAGCCATACTGCCCGGGAATGTGGCCCTGAGCAGCTGTGGGGTTGAGCACCTGGACTCCGGCGTGCCCCAGACTGGAGGAGCCAGGACTGTTCTCCCGATGTTGACAGAGTCCCTGCTTTCTGGAAGAGGAGACTCCCCCTCTCCTCCTCCATGCTTCTCTAGGGATCTCAGACTTGGTCACAGAGGACCCGGGCTTGCCCACTGTTGGTGTCAAGGCAAGGAAGCTCTCCATTCCAGCTGCTAGGAAGGTTTTGTACCATTAGTGAAAGGGTCTGTGACTCTCTTCCATACACATTGTAGGATGTAGGAGCGGTGGGGTGATCGGGATGGCACTGCGTCTCCACCTCTCCGTGTCCTCCGCCTCTCCCAAGGCCTCCTGGGGGACCTTTGTAATAATTTGAGCCAATTAAAACCATGAAATAAAAAATAAAAATGCTGGTTGGTGGTGGTGCGTGCCTTTAATCCCAGCACCTGAGAGGCAAAAGCAAATTCCAGGACAGCCAGGACTGCATAGATAGACATTGTTCCCACAAAGGTAAAATACATTTTAAAAAGCAAATCAACAGAAGCTTTGCCTGCTGAGGAGCCTTGGCCTAAGTCTCACGGCAGAGCTGAGCCTGGAAGCTCCTGAGAGAAATACCGCCCAGCCCCTCGCCAGCACCGGGGTGAACAGTTTCTAGATTCCCCTTTCTAAAAGGCTCCACTGAGCTAGTCACAGGCCCAGTGCTGGAGGTTGGGGAGATGCTCACAGAGCCACAGCAGGCCCGGAGGTGGCACCTGGCTTCAGGGTTACTGAGTTACCTGTGGCACCCCAGACATAGACCCTGCGTCTACAAGGCTCAATTTGTCCCTGTATCCCCACTGCTGTCACAGAGGCAGACTGGAGCATGGGTTCCGTGCCCAGCCACCACCCTCACCCCCTGCCCCAATATGAGCCTCTAAAGTCTCAACCTGGAGCCAGGTGGATTTTTCTTGGTCTTGGCTGGGTATAAGACCCTGGGCAAACCTTCCCTGAGACTCCAAACAGGAAGGACCAGTGCTGTAGGGTTATAAAATGAATGGTGTATAGACAGAGGCCTCAGCGATCAGTAACGAGCTATTCTGCATCCAACAGCACCTGGGTGCTCTCTGATGTCCCCAGGAGTCCTCGGCCTCCATTGCCTCTTCGGATGCCCTTTGCTTACTCCCTCAGCAATGTCCTTGCTCCTCCCCGGCCCCTCTCGCCTAGCCCGCCTCCTTGTTCACCAGCGTGTACCATGAATTGCTCCCTGGGTGCTTGGGTGTTTTCATGACATCTGTTTGCTTGGCTTCATGTGGGAGAGCTAGTCCCCTTCCTGGGTAAAACCACCACGGAGCTGCCAGGTCCCAGAGTTCTATGGCTCAGCATTCCACTGTGGCCAGAAAAGCATGGAAAGTGAGACATGGAAGGAGGCAGGGACTGTCCCCTTGTTACATAAAACAGCCAGCTTGAGGGTAGTACTAGGTCTCCTGACTGCTCCTGACTGTCCCCTGTTTCTAGCTCACCCCGTTTCTCCCACGTAGGCCACTGGGGATGAGTGCTGCCTCTTTGACCCTGACCGGTGGCCCGTAGGAGACTGCCTCTCTAACCACAGGCCCTGGGGACATCCATACCCAGGGGTCTCAGGTGTGGCAATAGTGTCCCCTCCCCTGCTGGTGTGTTGCTGGTTAGGAACCAGGCTCTGTGTAGACACCGGATGACAGGTTACGTGATCCTTCTGATCAAGGGGCCTCACTAAGGTATGTGCCCTTGAACCCAGGAAGGGGAGACGGCAGTCATGGGGCAGAGTGAGGGGGGCATCAGTTCCTGCTTCTCCTGTTCTGTTTACAGATGAGCTGCTGTCCTCCCTGGGCAAGGAGGAGCGGGCAGGGCAGAGGACGGTGCCAAGGTGGCACGAGGCTGGGCATGTGCCTGGTCTGAGGTGTCATTTGCAGAGTGCCAGATACCTGGAGGTGCCGCTCTGGGGACCCCAGGTCTCACCAGAGCATTGCCCTTGCTTTAGAAGCTGACCTCTGACCCGGGAGCAGCCAGAATCTGGGTATGCCAGCCCCCGCGCTGGACTCAGAACCCCCGCCACCACCAGTGAGTCTTGGCTCTGCTTATAGCATGTGACGCCAGAGGGGCTGAAAATAGTCCCTGGAGGAGGGGGAGAAGGGGGAGAAGGGGCTATTTAAAGGGCTCCAGAGAAGCCAGCCACAGCGGAGGGAGCGAGAAGGGATAATGGCTACTTCAGAGCTGAGCTGCCAAGTGTCTGAGGAGAACCAGGAACGCCGGGAAGCCTTCTGGGCAGAGTGGAAAGATCTGACTCTGTCCACCCGGCCGGAAGAGGGGTGAGTGTGACAGATCATCTGGAAGTTCTGCCTCTGCTTCCCCAGAGCACTGTCTCCACACCAGAGTGCAAACCCCTTAAGTTTCCGGAGGCCCTCCCCTGCGCCAGGGACCTGGCCATCCGGGGAGCCCTCAGGAATTCACCACCCTTCTCTCTGTTTGTAGGTGCTCCCTGCATGAGGAGGACACACAGAGACATGAGACCTACCACAGGCAGGGACAGTGCCAGGCGGTGGTGCAACGCTCGCCCTGGCTGGTGATGCGCCTGGGTATCCTCGGCCGTGGGCTGCAGGAATACCAGCTGCCGTACCAGCGGGTGCTGCCGCTGCCCATCTTCACCCCCACCAAGGTGGGAGCTGCCAAGGAGGAACGCGAGGAGACCCCCATCCAGCTGCGGGAGCTGCTGGCACTGGAGACAGCTCTGGGCGGCCAGTGCGTGGAGCGCCAGGACGTGGCTGAGATCACCAAGCAGCTTCCCCCAGTGGTGCCTGTCAGCAAACCCGGGACCCTGCGGCGTACCCTGTCTAGATCCATGTCTCAGGAAGCTCAGAGAGGCTGAGATGGACTGGGACTCAGGCTCCACTGCGTCTGCCTTGGGCTCGGCCCTTCCTGGTTAGGACCATGGAGGAGAGCTGCTGGCCATGGCTGCTTTGTAGTTTGCCCAGAGGTGGGGGCTGTGGGAGGAGGGAGCCAGAGGCCAGGATGCCTAGGTGTCCTGAGTCCCCAAAGGGAGGGGAGCAAGAATGGTGGGCCCTAGAGGTGGAGGGCTGAGCACCCTCAGCCCCAGAAGAAAGGACAAGAGATACTGGTGAGGCCAAGAGCCCCGGGAAACAGTGACCTGTTCAGTTAGAGACGGAGTAGGATGAGGAAGCGACGTGGAATGCTCTGGAAAGGATGCTTGAGGATTCCAGGGAGGGGGATGTGAAGAGGGCAGAGGCAGGGCAGGCCCCCAGCACCCTCTGTTAGCACTGCAATAAATGCTCAACCATGCTCCAGGCTCCTTTCTTTCTTTGTGGTTGGGGATGAGCATTAACGTCCCCTATGCACTTCTGGGAACAGCCATGCATTTGAGCTAAATATGGCACAGCCAGAGGGTACACCCCATGCTTAGGGGTGGGGACGGGAAGAACTGTAAACAGGGTAACTGTCTGGTCCCCCTTCCTGTGTCACTGCCCGGTCCTGGCTTCCATGTCCAGTCCCTGGCACTAGAGAGTGCCTAGCAGGCCAGCTGGCTTCAGGGTATCTTCAAATGGTATCTGCGGAGGATATGGAAGGGGCTGGCACGAGGGCTGTCCTTGGCTGTGCCTTGGGGTGTACATAGGGTCAATGACCTGAAGGCCTGTCAGTCGTAGATCCAGACAGAATCAATCCTTGGCTGGCATCAGGTGTTCCACTAGCCTGGCCTGGGTGGGAGGACAGGTTCCTGTCTGTGACCCCTGCAGCTGTTAGGATGATTCATGTCCCAACCTGGGTGTCTGGCCTAACAAGGAGACTGTCCCCTTGGAATAAGGAAGGGGCACAGAGGAGGACTGGATTGAAAGAGGCCAGGACTATCTTAGCAGAGACTGGCATCCTGCTCACCCAGAAGGGCACAGGTTCGTTCAGAGGGCTCTCCTCTAGGAAGACGAGATGCTGTTGGCAGGGTGGTTTGTCATTTTGAGCAGATGGGACAGAAGAGTAGACGCTTGTGTGCCAGGTACCTGGAACACTAAAACAAGACCTGCAGGCCAGGCCCTGCCAACTCCCCGGTAGGGGCAGGAGTGCTGACTGGGGGAGGACAGTCAGGGACCTGTACCCTCGGAATGCCAAAAGCGCACCATGTGCCCCTCTAGTGGCCATTGCAATACCAAGAATGAGCTCAGTACTCTTTGTTCTTACCTGAGTCCGGTGTCCCTGATATGGTAGGAACATCCTGAATCAGCTGTGCTTGTTGGTCCCCAGATAAGCAACACAGCCCAGAGGCCACAGGGATGCTGGGATGTTCTGCTTGCTAAAAGCATTAGCCCTGCTCTCCTCCCTTATCTCTACTGCCGTGGATGCTCAGGGCAGAGACCTGCTCAGGGGCTCCCCCGGGCCACCAGAACAGAGTGTCCCTTCTGGAGGAGGAAGGGGCTTGGAGGATAGAGTTGGGATCCAGGCCTGGAGGAAGGGATGTCATTATTAGGAAGGGGGGCTTGTAAGGGGCGCCCCGAGAGAGGGAAGGAGGCCTGGGGGAGGTCGATGCGCTATCCAAACCTCGGGAAAGAAAGGGGATGGGATGCTGGGCCAAAGTGTCTGTGGGAGGCTGGAGAGGAGCTGGGGCACCTGGCAGGGGATCCGGAACTGAGGTTTGGGGTGCAGGACCTCACTGGAAGGAGTGAGCTGGGGGAGGTATGGGTGGAGCGTGGAGGGATACCCAGCACAAGTGCAGAGCGAGGGTGAAGCAGGAGCTATATATTCTAGAGAGTACCCTCCACACCTCCGCGCGTGTCTGTTTCTCTGGACACTAACAAAGATGGATGGGGTGGCAGAGACGTAGTGGCCCCGGGCGCCTCATCCCTCAGCCGCCGCCCCCGCAACGGAGGGAGGGGTCGGGGCGGGGAGGGGCAGTGGTAGATAAGGGGATGGCGAGGCTTGTGGGGGATAGGAGGCCCCAACAGAAGCATGAGCTGTGGCACAGACCCGAACCACGCTGCAGGGATGGCCCCTGACTCGGACCCTGGCCGGGCAGCTGTCGCCTTGGCTTACCAGGGCTTCGAGCCCCGCGCCTATCTCCGCAACAACTATGCTCCTCCTCGTGGGGACCTGAGCAGCCCTGATGGCGTTGGGCCTTGGAAGCTGCGCTGCATGGCACAAACCTTTGCCACGGGTGAGCACCGGAAACTGAGGCATGAGAGAGCAGAAGGCAGGGGGGGGGGAATGAAAGGGAGAGAGAGAGAGAAACAAGAATGCACTCTAGATGAGGACCCAGAAGCAGGACTGTATAGGAGGCCGGCTTGTATAATCAAGAGGGAGCAAATCGGCGAGGCTGGTAGTGGTGCCCGCCTCTAGTCCCAGCTACTAGCTTGAGCCCCTGAACTGGAGGCCTGGCTAGACAGCTTAGATCCTCTTTTCTTTGAGGGGAGGGTACTGAGGATTGACAGACAGGCGGGGTGGGGTACAGGAGACAGACAGAGATGAAGGCTGAGGCAGAGATTGGAGACTAGAGGGACAGGCTAGGGGTCTCAGAATCTCCCCCACTTGATCGTCACTGAAGCTAGTTTTTTAGTGGTGGAACCCGACTTAAAGGAGCCCAGCTTCTCTCCAATGTAGGTAGCCCAGGATGGCCCCCAGCAGGACCTGATTTGTGTGGGTACTTGCTCCAGGCACTCACTGCCCAGAAGGGCTGGGAGAGCATGGGAGGGATGGCTGAGGTAGGGACCACCCGGAACCCCTTTCTCTGCTTCTCCAGGTGAGGTGTCTGGGCAGGTCCTCATTGACATTGGTTTCTCTGCTTCTCCAGGTGAGGTGTCTGGGCAGGTCCTCATTGACATTGGTTCGGGCCCCACCATCTACCAGTTGCTTAGTGCCTGCGCCTACTTTGAGGACATCACCATGACAGATTTCTTGGAGGTCAACCGGCAGGAGTTGGGACTCTGGCTTCGAGAGGAGCCAGGAGCCTTTGACTGGAGTGTGTATAGCCAGCATGCTTGCCTCATTGAGGGCAAGGGGTAAGAGCAGCGTCCCATGGAGCGGTGGGTGGGTGGTGGAGGGCGGCAGAGGACTGAGCCTGGGGTGGTCCTGAGCCCTGCCTTGTGCCCCTGTCCAGTGAGTCCTGGCAGGAGAAGGAACGCCAGCTACGAGCCAGGGTGAAGCGAGTCCTGCCCATAGACGTGCACCAGGCCCAGCCCCTGGGAACGTCGAGCCTGGCACCCCTGCCCGCCGACGCCTTGGTTTCTGCCTTCTGCCTGGAGGCTGTGAGCCCAGACCTTGCCAGCTTCCAGCGGGCTCTGCATCATGTCACCACCCTGCTGAGGCCCGGGGGCCACCTCCTCCTCATCGGCGCCCTAGAGGAGTCCTGGTACCTTGCTGGGGAGGCCAGGCTGTCTGTAGTGCCAGTGTCAGAGGAGGAGGTGAGGGAGGCCCTGGTCCTTGGTGGTTATGAGGTACGAGACTTCCGTACCTACGTCATGCCTGCCCACCTCCGCACGGGCGTAGATGACGTCAAGGGCGTCTTCTTTGCCTGGGCTCAGAAGATGGGGGTGCAGGTGTGAGGGCCCTATACACCTGGTGTCCTGTGCCTCCCAATTCCTTATTACCTGACAAGGCACCTAATAAAGAAACAGCCCCTGCTGTCGTGCTGTTTGTGGCTTCCAGAAGTAGAGACTCTGTAGAGGCCTCTGAGGTTTAGAAGGGGACCGTCCTGGCTGCTCTTTTTCCCCAGGAGCCTCCACGAAGGTTGATTTCTGTACCACCCATTCTCCCATCCCAGGAGGGCCAAGTTCAAGGGGGCACAGGCAGCACCCGCTGCTTGCCAGGCACTTGTGTGGCTCTAGTGGCCGGGCACTCCACCTCAGCTCAGCAGCAGGGCCTGCCCGTTTGTCTCCAGGTGAAGTTCAGGGAGCCTGAGTAAGAGAAGCCAAAGCTAGAGAGCCAGGTTACTGAAGTGGATAGCAGGGAGGTGTTGAGGCCCAGACACAAATTCAGGTTGAGAAACAAGAGCCGGTGGTGCGAGCTCCCCACACCCCCACACCACACCACACCACACACACCATCACACACACACACACACCATCACACACACACACACACCATCTCACACACACACACACACCATCACACACACACACACACCATCACACACACACACGCACCATCACACACACACACACACCATCTCACACACACACACACACACGCACCATCACACACACACACACACCATCACACACACACACACACGCACCATCACACCACACACACACACACACACACACATGCACATACGCTTCAGGCTCTGTCAGGCTCCATGCCACCCTTACTCCCAAGTACCCAGGCAGAGATTTAAAATCCACAATGTCTGGCCGACGATGTCTCCTTCCCTCCAGCCCGTGTTATACAGAGAAGCAGAACCAGTGTGTGCGAGGCCAGGAAATGGTTTATTAAGCACACCCTTACTGTCCCCGGCCTTAAAATTGCTCTTAGTATTAAAAAAAATCCTAATAGGCTACCCAAGTACCTGAGCTGGAGTCCTGGCATAGCTACCTCCCACAAAGAGAGGGCAGGGATAATGGCAGAGCCCAGCTGCAGGCTGCCTTCCTGATGGACTGATTCAGGTTCAGGCTGTATGGGCCCTGCTTGCCCCGGGATTATCCTGGGAGAGCAGGTTCTCTATGGAGGGCAGTGACCACATTCAGACCCAAGCTCCACATCCTCTTTCCCTTTGGCTGATGCCCCTGAGGTCCAGGCTGTGACCAGGGGCTACAGCAGGGAGTGGGAGGCATACCATGCCAAGGTAGAGAGGAGGCAGGGAGGGGTACCTTTTCCCTTCCTCTCTCTGCCCTTCAGGGGCTAGTTCTGCAGGGGGCTCTCAAGACATGCGGGGGTGGGGGCAGACTGTGATTTGGAATGGAGTGCAGAGGGGGCGTCGGGCAGGCCTCCACACTCACAGCACCCATCAGGTCACACGCACATGCTGGCAGCTGGCTGGACTTGGGGTCTTAGGCAGACTTGGAGCTCAAATGACTGCTGGTGATGACTTGGTTCCCCCATTCCACTCCAGCCTACCAGTGTAGCCCACGCATGTTCATGTCAGACACAGGCCTTCTCAAAACCACCCCCACTCACCTGCCTCCTGAACACACATCCAGTCTCTACACTATAAGTGAATCCCACAATGCCCCAGCCCTGCCAAACATGGCACATTGACTACCTGGTCGTGTCTGCTCTTGGCTTGGTCCCTGCCCCTCTATGTGTCAATGTGTCCATCCCCAACCAGAACAGCAGCCAGGGTTCTAACCCGGAGGCCCCTGGGGTCCTGGCCCTGACGGCAAGAAAGGCTGTTGCAGGAGGCAGGGTGGAAACCCCTCGTTGGTACCAGTCCAGCAGCTCAGTGCCTCAGACCACGGAGAAACCTGGGCAGCTGAAGAGCAGGCCTCCAGCGCCACCTAGTGGCTTCCTGACAAAAGAGACCCCAATGTACCCCAAAGGCCCGTGAGTGGCATTTAGGGGTAAATGGAGGTACTGGGGGTGGTTCTACGGGGTGAGTGATGTGGGAAAGGGAGTGGCTGAGGAGACAGGAGCAGCACTTCTCTCCGTAGACCCCAAAATTTGCTCCCAGTTCAGCCCCAGGCAGAGGTCTTGCCCTGTGAGAGCCAGCAAGGAGTGTGTGGCTATATGATTCCAAGCCCATACCCCACATGTTCAAGTTCAAGAAGCTAAAGGGAGAAAAACAATCATCTCAGGGGGAGAAGGGAGAAGCAGCAGGAAGGAGGCAGATCTACCCCTCCAGGGTCTTTAGTCTAGCTTGAGCTTGGCTTCAGAGTCCTTCAGTAGGTATAGACTGTCATCTTCCAGAAATCTGTGGGTGTAGAGATGACCCCACTGAGGCAGTCACCCAGGTCTGGGAGCCCTCCCAGACGGTGGGGTGACAACCGGCAAGTGGGAAGAGAGCCCCAGTCAAGGAGTAGGTAAGGAAGGGGGCAGGCAGGGGGTCCCGGGTCGGGGGCGGAGCTAAAGCGCTAACCTGAAAAAGAGGATGTGGAGAGGGATGGTGCTGATATGCCAGATGGCATGGGCGTCCAGGACCCAGAAGAGGGGCGGGAAGTCCAGCAGCTCCAACAGGGAGAGCCCCTGCAGCAGCAGCACCACGGTCACACACCTGCGCGTGTGGGGCAGGCGCCGGTGGTTCCGCAGGCACCAGGCCAGCCACCATGCCAGGTTCACCAGGCCTGGAGGCCGGAGACACAAGAGGCTCACTCACTGGCTGTCCTCCTTGACTCCAACTGCCTTGTCCCGACTCCACCCACCCCAGCCTCCCATCTCAACTCCTCTCTCCGGAATACGCCTCAAGAACCCACCGCACGCCCGCCCACAGCTCTGCAGCTCTGCCTCACCTATAGCCACGTTGGCCATCATGTTGTAGCCGTAGTCGAAGCGGACGAGGCTCAGGTAAGCGACGTGCAGCAGCAGCAGGAGCAGCAGCAGGGCTCCGAAGGCACTGGCCACCGACGGGTGCTGCAGCCCCACAGTCCTGTCAGCCATCCAGAGCGACTCAGACAACCCCTGGCTAGCCTCAGAGCCGTGGTCCGTCAACTGTTTCCTCGCCCCAAGTGGTGAGGGCTTGCCGAAGCCACTGTCCTCTCCCTGTCCCACCAAACCAACCGTTTCCTAGAAACCAAGGGCCACAACTCCCGGAGGAGCCCGGTTCCTCTAACCCTGGCATCCCCCCCAAGACAGCGCTGTGGGAATGTGAGGAGGCCAGGGAGAAAGCCCTCAGCGGCACCCTCGCTGCCCACAGCCCCAAGGGCTCACCTCACACAGCACAGGTAGATAGAATGCAGGATGACGGCAGAGGCGCAGAAGTAGTCCATCTTCTGAGGGTGGGGAGAGCCCAGGAGGCCATGTGAGGGGAGCAGAGCATGGCACAGGTCAGGGCCCACAGAGGAGCCACAGGGATGAGGCAGGGAGGGGTCAGGGTCTGGGCTTTCGGTCTGCAGGAACCCCATCTTGCATTCCCTCTGCCTATGGCTGTTTCCCTGTGTCCACACTTATAAAACGTTTTAGAACGGCAGCGAGCCATCCGTGGCATCGAGAAGGGCACACCACGGAATTCAAAATGTCGTTTGGAGTGTGGTAGACATGGACTACACTAGCTTGGGTGACCCTGGGAAATGACTTCCTTTCTCCCAAGCTCGGTGGCCTTATAGATCAGGAAACCAATGACAAAACTCTCCTGGCTAGACCCAGGTAAGGCTCCCTGGGCTGCCAGGAAGGGATGCAGGCTCTGCAAATGGCACTGCCTTCACTCTGCGGTGCCTGCTCTGCCCTCTCCTGGGCTCCTCTGGGACTGTCCCATGCAGGGGGCTGGGAGGCGCTCACCTCTGTGAGGTCAGTGTCCCTGGTATGGAAGACTGTGGACCAGAACCAAGCATTGAGGGACACCTGAGGAAGGAGACGTCAGTTAGCTTGCAGCTCAAGGTGGAGGAGACCTGAGGTGCTCTGGGGGGGGGGGGGATGTGCATCCTGTGCCCCAAGAGTTGTGTGAACAAACCCAGGCCTCACTCCCACCCAGCGAATCCCCACAGGAGGATTTCCCACCGCTATACACTGCCACCCAAGCCCCCAGGCCACAGAGCTGCAGCTTCCACATGTTCTGGCCTGGCCAGGGAACCAGTCCTGGCAGAGCCTCGTTCCCAAATTACCCAATCTCTAAGACAACAGCCCCCAGGGCCCTGCCTCCTCCCCCACACTGCCAGGTGATGACAACCCCACCCCAGCCCAAGGGAGCCTGTGACTTCAGCTTCTGGGGGCGGGGATGAGGTGAGTGGGTGGGTGGGGGGCTTGAGCTAGCTTGGGGTGTGTCCAGAGGAGCAGCAATCCAGGGCGGGAGGTGAGGCAGATCCCACTGGAACCTAGCCTCTGAGGAAGACTGGCCAACCCAGCACAGCTTCTTCCTGGCTGGGCCAGCCTAACCCGCTGGGCCAGTAGTTGCTCTGGAGTCTTGGGAGGAGTAGGGGCAGGGCTGAAGAGGCTTTGAGAATGGCCCAGGGGAATGCTGGGGGCCCTTTTCCTGGAACAGCAGAGCCTGAGACTTGAAAATACACCTTCTTGTGGGAATCGGTGTTGGCACTTTCTTCAAGGCCTCTGTCCACAGCACAGGTCCAAGTTACTGAGAAAAGGGCAGGCTGTGGTGGAGGCAGGAACCAGAGGCTAAGAAATCAGTCACGAAAGGTAGAGCAGTCCCTGGCCTGCCGTACCCAGAAGGTGAACAGAGATGTTTGCAGGACAGGCCTGTAGGAGCTGCCCACTTAGGTACCACAACAAATGGGCGGCCAGGGGACACAGGAGCAGGTCAGGAATCTCACAGCGGGAGGGCCAGACATGGCTGAGACATGACAGGAGCAGAGGATGACAGGGGGTCCGGATAGAGGCAAGGCAGGGCTTGGAGCCAGGCAGTACTCTTGATGCTAGGCTCTGGCCTGGGAGCCCTCTGCCCCCACCCACTGCCAAACTTGACTTTCTCTGACAGCCTTCTAGTTACAGAGGGCTGCCTGAGGAATGGCGTCTGCAGCCTTGACAAGGGTCTGAGGTGTCTTATGGTGGGTAGGCCACCACTTCTAGCCTTTTCCTCAGAGGACTTGGGAGGCAGCTGTACTGTGGGTACCTGGCTGTGCCTCAGCCTGCTATGGGACCTGAGGAGAGGTCACAGCCTGTGTCCCAAGCCAGGTTCGGCCACTCATCCTCACTAAGCAGACTTCCCCGTGTGGCCACACCGAAGAGATCATCTTTTTTCTGCTTTCCGCTATTCATGTGACTTTTGAGATTGGCTTATTGAGGGTGGGTCTAAGGGCTCTCTCCTCAGATGGGGCAGGCCTGAGTGGCCTTCATCTCCTCCCTCACACGGCCTATGGTGAGCTGGGTCAGTATGGGGGAGAGGGGTGACCCCGGGCTGAGACAGGACCCAAGCAATCACAAGGACCAGGCCGGCCAGGTGCAGGACATCTTGGGGAGGACAGTGGCCCTGGAACCTGTGTGGGAGGGAGGCGGGGAAGGCAGCAGGCCCTGGCAGCCAGCCAGGCCTCCTTGTCACCCACAGCAGGAAGGGGGAGGTGACAAGAGGGCTGGTCTAAGTGGCAGTTGGAACACTGGAAGCGGAGGGTGGGGTGCACTGGGCCAGGCTGTAGACCCACACACAGGTGTAGGCTGCTGACTTTTTTTTATCCGTTGACTCCAAGGGGCCATGTACTTACTGAGTCCTGTCTGAAGCTTGGACTCTGAACCCCTGGGATGTCCCTCTCTTAAGGAGTGTCCCATGAAGGGTGGGGTCTTTCCGATCATTTCCTCAGACCCAAAGGCAGTACCACTAAGAATGCAGGCCCCAGAGCCAAACCTGGGGGCTTTAAGCCCTAGCCTTGGGCAGCATTTCCTGTGTGTCCTCAGGCAAGTTATTCACCCTCTCTGTCTCAGTTTCCAGTGCTACACATGCTTTTTACAGCCGCTGCTTGGAACACGGGTGTCCCATGAACCTTGGTTTCCTTCATCACGTCCACCAGGCTGACTCCACCACTTCCCTTCACCTGACCTCCAACTTCTCTTTCCTCAAGTTCGAGGTCAGACCGTGGGGTCTCAGGGGCACTGGCTCCAGGGTGCAGACAGCTCAGATATGGGAAAGTCCCTCTTCATGTTCCCAAGCCTCTGTCCCATGAGCACGGTCCCACTGTCTCATCGGTGCTGCTTCTCTTCAAGACACGAGCAGATGGGCATGCGGGAGTGCGGGGGGGGGAGTCATGCACAACTGTTCTGCACACCTGCTTTGCACTCGGTGTGGTGGGAGGGACCAGCGGGGTAGGTGAGAATTTTGTGTAAACACTTGAGAATGGGGGACTCGGGGTCGCAGTAGTGGCAGGGATGAAGGGACAGGAAGGCTGGTGGAGGGAGGCAGGGGCCTGTTTCAAGTCTGCTGGCAAATACTAGAACAGACAAAAATATCAGCCATGAAACTGGTTGGATGCCAAGAGAGCCAGATCTGTCAGGAATTTGACCCCGGTGTTAAGCCCCAGTGCTCGGAGCTGTCATTGACATCATCACGGTGGGGACAAGTGGGTCTTTAAATAGCCTGGTGTCTCAGCAGTGGGGGAGGTAGAATGTTAAATATGATGTCGGCTGCCATCCTGCCCCCTTCTCTGGGGCCACAGTCCAGCGGGCCAAGACTACCTCGGGTTCACTCTGAGGGGAGGCGGGGCTTTTTCCCACCTCCAAAGGAGGATTCCTGAGCTGGTGAGATGGTTTGGATGAAGGCACCTGTGTCAAGCCCGATGCCCCGAGTTCAAATCCCAGGACCTGCACAGTAACATCGTACTAATTCTCCTGAGTTGAGTATGACCTCCACATCATGCCACAGCATGTTCCCAGGCACATGAGTAAATAAATACATGGTTTAAAACTCTTTTTTTCACTTCTTAACACTGTCTGACTCACTGGCTTTTGTCTGACAGTTGGGAAGTTCTTCCTGAACTCTAGCCATCAGTCTGGGATGCTCTGATCGGTCCCTGTCCTTTCATCTCACAGCTGCCCCTGAGAGTCTCCCCGATAGATGAAGGTGGGGTTGGTTCGGCCTCCTAGCTCTGGCAGAGGGCCTGGCCCCTCACTCCATGAAGTGAAAGGCTCCAGCACACAGGCCTCTGGCAGCTTCCCCAGCCCTTCCTGGTACCTCCCCAGGCTGCACCTGGGTCTAAATGGCAAGGCAGGGGCAGCCTTCTCATGCTGAAGTTTCAAGGCTCCACTGGGGAACAGAGGTATCAGAGAAAAGACACCCCTGGCCCTCCCATCCACACCCCAGCACAAGCGAGGGCCACACTTGTTCCAGAAGACCCGGCCCAGGACAAAGTCCGCTGCCACACCCTCTGGGCAGAAACACAAGACTTAATGGCAAGTATGAAATCCAAACTAGAATAAGGGTGGTGGTGCCTGCCTACCACAGCAATGCCCAGCCGTTCGAGGCAGGAAGAGTGAACACTGAAGGCTAACCTGGGCTATCCAGTGAGAGACCCTGAGTCAGCAAAGCAAAAACTAAATCATCCAACCAGAGTGGACCCTGTGTCCCTGGAAGACCTCATAAAGGCCAGAAGGGGCCCCAACAGCCTTGGCATCTGTTCCCTACCAGAGAACCTGTGTCCTGCTTCCAGGTCTTAGGTCCCACTGAGTTCTCCCACATGGACCCAATCCTGATTTCCAGGCTGAAAGGGCCTAGACACAGCCTTTGCTCTGCAGTTCTGAGCTAGACAAATGCAAAACCTGATTCTTGCTCAGCCAGTGTTTACTCCACCCTGGAGTCCAGTGGTGCAGTGCCAGAGGTTAGCCCTGGGGTCCAGTGGTGCAGTGCCAGAGGCTAGCCCTGGAGCACAGTAGTGCAGTGTCAGAGGCTAGCCTTGGAGCACAGTGGTGCAGTGCCAGAGGCTAGCCCTGCCTTCTCTACTTGCTGACTTGTTAGCTGTTATCTGAGGTCAAATCCCTGTGTGCCTGAGTCTTACTCAAAGAACATAGGTACATAATGAGGATCCCATGAAGAAACGCTGGTCAAACACCAAGGACAAGCCTGGTACCACAAGCACATGGTCTTCCTTCACAGCGTTTGCTCTTCTAGAGCTTACTATGCAGTTAAAGATAGCCTTGGACTCATGTTGCATCCAGATATAACTACTGTCTTCAAATTTTAAATGAAACTGATTTCTTTCTGTTTTTAGAGTCAGGGTTTCTCTGTGTAGCCCTGGGTGTCCTGGAATTCACTCTGTAGACCAGGCTGGCCTCAAATTCAGAGATCTGCTTGACTCTGCCTCCTGAATGCTGGGACTAAAGTCTAGGCCTAAAACTTATCATGTCCTGCAAAAAATTAATATAGGGTCTCAAATATGCAGCCTATGGTGACATCAAACTCAAAGTCCTGCTTCAGCCTCCTAAGTATGGAATTACAAGCATGGTCACTCTGCCCAGCCCCTCCCTCTCTCTCTGTCTCTCTGTCTCTCTCCTTGTCCATCCCTTCCTTCCCTCCTTTCTGCTGCTGCTCCATAGCCCCTAACAGTTACTGTTACCACTGAAGGCACACACTAGGTCTACTCCTCCATCCATGTCCTCCCTCCCACATCAGGCGCCCCCTGTGCCCTCCTCCAGCCACTTGTCTCCTTGTCCTGCCCTGTGGTTCTTGGTTTTCCTGGCCTACAGATGCCTCTTCCCTTTGCTGTCTTTACACTTCCTGTCTTCTGGCCAGGGGATTCCCCTGCTCTCTTCATGATTACTAGATATTTCCAGTCCTCATGCTGTCTCATATCCCAGGAAGCCTTACCTTGTTGCCTGCCCTGTAGGGCCCAGCCCCATCACGTGCCCTACAGCTCCCCCCTCTTCCGCGTTTCTTCAAGGCTGTACTTTGACATCCAATTGTGTGTCTGAGACTAGTGTGAGAGGTCAAGGACCGGTGTGTTTTTACATGTTTGGGGGCCTCTAGCAGCAGTAAGGTGCTTGGCGTGCAGCGGGTGGCCAATGGACACAGATGGAGGTTCTTATGACAGGAAGAAGTGGGTGGGGATTTCCCCATTAAGGCCTGTCGGAGGAGCTCCGCCCCCTAGACACCCACCGTAGCTCTTACTGTCACCCAGTGCTCCTCTGCACGAAGGTCTCCAATGGTCCCAGGCCTGGATTCTAGTTCCTCAGACCCACCATACTAGTGAGGCTGAGAACTTTTTTCTGCTCACAAGGACCCACCTGTGTTCTCCAGGGATAGGCCTGCACTTGACTAAGCTCTAATAAGATCTCTGGGCCAGAACAAAAGACACATCAATCCTCCAGAGAGGTCTTGAAGAGACCAGCAGTGTCAGCATGTTCCCTGCAGTGAAACCTCTTCCCATCCACATTAGCAAACTGCCCACTGAGCCTTTTTGCAGTTTCCTCACTTAGGACCAACCAGAATGTGTGTCCTCCCTGCTTCCCAAGAAGACCGTCCTGGTAAGAAGGGAGGGAGGTCCAGCGCTTCCCATTTCCACTCTGCCTGACTACCATATGTGTTAGCCCTGGAAAAGAGAGAGGCTAGTCGCTGGAAGCCCATCACTGGGGATGGAAGAGCTCCTCTGTGCAGAGCAGGGTGTGTAGAGTGTCCTGCTCGGCTACCTACCCAAGCGAAGGCCATGCAGGTGTGGTACATGGGGGAGGAGGCTGGCACAGAGGCACGGTAGCGGCGGAGCATCACCAGGCTGGCTAGGCCATTGAGGAGTGAGGCCACGGCAGAGGCTGGCTCTTGGATGAACAGGAACCGGGAGAAGGGCCACTGAAAAAGGAGCATAGGGAGGAGGCCTGAGGGGAGGCAGCCCCTAACTGGCCTGATCAATCTTTCCTTGACAGCTGCATCAACAGGTCTCCAGCTGGTTCCTCAGCTCAAGATTTTGGCCAAAGCCTTTAATTCTCTCAAGTCAATGAGAATCTCTCCGGAAGTCCCTGGCTAAGATTAGAGTCTTTCCCTGGTAGGCAGGCACCGCAGTGGAACCCTGAGTCTGGGGACAGCAGACAGGCCAGGTGAAACCACACAGACCTGCCATCCAGATCTGGGGTCCATCCCTCCTCAGCTACTTCCCATAGTCCTCTGAGTGCCTGATTACTTTGTGCTAAGCTGGGATGAGTAATTCCTGCCAGCAGGCAAAAATGAGACAACAGTGGGTCAAAAGGCGCAAAGAAGGGGTCAACATAAGGGGCATTTCTGATGATCTGGACTCCCATTGCAGAAACTATGAGAAAAACACCTTAGTCAGGGCTAGTGGATATCTCAGGCAGCCCTGAGAAGCTCAGCACTACTGTGAGGGAACACAGACCTTTGTGTGTGTGTGTGTGTGTGTGTGTGTTTGGAAAGAGGGTATTACTTGGCTACATAGACCAGGTGGGCCTCAAATTCGAGAGCTCCACCTGCCTCTGCCTCCTAAGTGCTGGTATTAAAGGTGTGCGCCATCACACTTGGCTTGGGACACAGGCATCATTACTCCAAATTCAGAAGCAGGACACACTGGCACCATTGGAAGAGCAAGAGATTCTGAGCACAAGTGCCTGTTCCATCACTCCCTCCCTGTGACACCCTACCTCAGGCTGCTGGGACAGCATGGGCCAGTTGGGGGCTAAAGGCCACCACCACACACCTTGCCTGACTCTGCAACTCACCTTGCCATGGAACTGAGGCACTCTGTGACCCTCCTGAAGGTAGAGGCCGACAGTGACCCACATGCACTCATACTTGCAGTCATCCCGACAAGTCCAGCCTGAAACAGACAGACAGGACTACAGATGTTGTAGTTCAGGGAGGCATACGCAGCCTGATGAAGCCCAGGCATGAATGCAGAGAACCACAGGAGATCTCAAAAGCTTACACACAGGGGAGGGGGGGGCAGATTTTAGCAGTGAGAGCCAAGTGAATAGTTTCTTCTCCCTTTACCCAAGACGGGGCTCTTGGCATCTGACAGGCCTGTTAGGGGACATGGGTTTATACTTTCCCATCTGCATCCAAGGTGGAATCTTTGGTGTCTCCCCGCTCCTATGAAAAATAAAGCTGAGACCCTTCACCCCGACTCCTCAGATTCCTTTATTCCCTCACTGCCACTGCTCATGTTCCCTGCTCTGGGGAAAACCAAGCTGCTACATGTACCCAAATCTTCCCAGGGCCTCCAAGCTCTCTGCTCCCTCTTTCTGGAAATGCAGCTCTATCACTTTATAGGCTGAGTGACCTTGGGCAAGGTACTTAATCTGAGTGTTCCCACCTGTAAAATGGATTAGGGACACTATCCGAATGGGTTGCCGTGATGCCGTGACGCCTGTCAAGTGTGGGTCTCAATATGTTGGTTGGCATCAATTCCCTCCTTTTTAAATTGTTCCATGGTGATCCCTGCCTCTACCCCTTGAAGCAGACTCCATTCCTTCCTGTTCCAAATGCATATAGTGCTTAACGTATGGGTCTGTTAGGGCTCAAACCACTCTGTCTTTGTGAATATTCACCGGCTTGGGCACTATAAACTCGGAAGGGCAGGCTCCTGGTCTGTCTCCTGTGTTATTTCAGGTCTTGTACGCCGTGTTTAACAAGTATTGATCTGAATAAATATAATTAAGCCTCTGGAAAGCTAGGACAAGCCGTTGAGACCCCACACACACACACTCAGGAGATTCCATACATTTACATTCATGAGAGAACCCATGGGGAAACTGAGGATCCGAGATTGCAGAACAGTTGGGCGCAATGGGCGGGGCTAAATTCAATGGGCGGGGCGTATCGGGGGTGGGGCTTACCAGCTAGGCTCATGTAGATTGGCTGGAGGGAGCGGAAGTGCTTCAGTGCGTCCCCCGAACAGTTCCGTTCTTCGCACCGGAGCACGCAGTCGCGGTACACCGGCTCGCGGTCGCCTTGGGAGCCCCACGCGAGACCCACTGTCACGGTTAGCAGCAGCAGCCGCGCCGTCCGTTCGGCCATCCTGTCACTCTGCCTGGCCGCCGAGGGAGGAGCGCGAAGTCCCACTTCCGTATCAACCGGAAGTACCTGTGTTCATGTTGCACCCTCCGCTGACGCCCGCCCACTTTAAATAAAAATTCCCGGATTTTAGTGGGCGGGGATCCCCGCCTCTAATCTGCTATCTACTCTAAACACAGTATTCAAGGGGTGGTGTGTATTCGGGAACAAATTAGTGTATTTTCTTTCTTCTTTCTCCATGATCTCTGTCCCAAGTGGGCCCCTCCTGTCATCTGCCCTTCTTAGATTTCAGTTTCCAGATGTTCTGGGCTCTCCATTTCTATTTCTTGTGCCGTCACCTTGATTAAAGACACTGCCAGGCCAGGAACCAGGAGGTAAGAACGGAAGTGGAGGTCACGAAGGAGTACTGCTTTCTGGCTTGCTTAGTCTCTATAGCATCCAGTAGTACTTGCCCAGAGTTGGCACCGCCGGCAGTGGCATGGGCTCTCCCATATCAATTATTGATCAAGAGAGTGTCCCCCTCTTGACAGGCCAATATGATGGGTGCATTTATTTTCTCAACTGAGATTCCCCTTTTCCAGATGTCAAGCTGACAAACAAAAACTCAGAAAAACTAATCACAACTCCAATTTCTAAAATTCGAATTTGACCCATAGCTTTCTTTCTTGCATGACCTGACCTGCTGGTCTCCACTGCGTTCATCACTCCTGCTGGTCTCCACTGCGTTCATCACTCCTGCTGGTCTCCACTGCGTTCATCACTCCTGCTGGTCTCCACTGCGTTCATCACTCCGGGTCCACTGCAAAAGTCCCTGTCTCCGGAGCCTCTTGGCCTTGTCTGGTTTCTATCACATCATTTTGCTTTTGCTTGTTTTTCTGTTATCAATTAAAGGCCCCCTGTTGCGGGTGATTGATTTGTTAACATGGGTAGGAAAATATGCAGTGCATGGTTTTCCTGTGAGGCAGGGAGGGGGTCCTTTCCTGTCCTGTTCACCTGTGGCATTGAAGTAGGACTTGGGCTTCGTGTGAGACACTTGGAGAGCCTTTTCCCTTTTTTTAAGTGAATGTACAACATAAAACTGGATGAGCCAGCCAAGTGCCTGGCTCAGTGAGGGCAGGTATTTGATTGACAACCTGGGTTGGACCCTCAGCATTCACATAAAGGTGAGAGTAGAGAATCAACTCCACAAAGTTGTCCTGTGACATCCATGTGTGTGCTATAGTGCGCGCGCGCGCACACACACACACACACACACACACAGAGGCATACACAAATGCAACACAACAAGAAGAAATTTCTTAGGGGAGAAGAGATGGCCCAAAAGTTAACAATGAGTACTGCTCTTTCAGAGGACAGGAGCTCGGTTCCCAGGACCCACACATGGCAGCTCACACCACTTGCAACTCCACCTCCAGGGAATCTGATAACCTTTTCTGGTCTCTGTAGGCACTGTACTTTCATGCACATACCCTGATACAGATACTTGGGAATTGGATGCTTGCTTTAGTGATCCCCATAGCTGCCCAACCAACAGTGCCCAAATCTCACTGTAGTTTTGAAGTCATGCGATTAAACACTCCTCCCCCCCAATCTTTTCATTCATGGTCTTTCTTCCTTTATACCCTGGAAAGGGAACTGGGGTTGGAGGGTAGGATTTAAAGGTGATGAAGGTGGGGTGTGGAATTCACTAGAAGTATCATGGAGTTACCTTCATTCACCCAGCAAGCTGCTCAGGGGTGCATCATTCACCCTGTATTTTCTGTGAATGGCACTTCTTCCATTTAAGTATACCATAGTGTCCTTGAAGTTGACCAGCCAGTTGATAGGGATGAAGAAATTATTACTTTTTGTGGAGATAAGGTTTCAATGTATAGCCCAGGGTGGCCTCCAAATTGGAATCTTCCTGCCTCTGACTCCTAAATGCGGGGAGTATTGGCATGTGCCACCTTGGTTCATTCAGGCCTGATGTGGTTACACACACTTAAATCCCGGCACTCAAAGGGCAGGGGCAAGTGGATCCAGGCCAGCCAGGGTTACATGGGGAGACCTTTTCTCAAAACAAACAAACACACACACCCTCCAAAACAAACAAACAAACAAACAAACCCAACAACAAACATCGAAAAAGCGAGCATTGTGGTCCCTAGTCGCTGATGGAGAACACAGTCAAATCCTAATATTACTTTGGGTCTGCTATCCAGACCTTTAACAATACACTTTTTTTGTTTTTTTTATTCTGAGGATGTATCTTTTACAATAATCCCCATGTGAAGATGGAGCATTAGGAAGAGGGAGGATGAAATCCTGACAAGGAAAGAGAAAAGTTTCTCCAGCTGAGTAAACTAGGTGGAGACAGGACTCCTTTAAAACTTTTGGTTTCTGCCCTCAGTGGTGGTGAATGCCTGAGTTCCAGGACAGCCAGGACTATAAAGAGAAACCCTGTCTTAAAAACAAACAGAACCTTTAGTTTCCATGTTTTTTTTTCTGTTCCTGTTCTGGGGTTAGAGTCTATAGCTTGCAGCTAGGTGTGTTAGTGCACACCTACAATTCAGCACCAGGGAATGGGACGGTGATAGGAGGGTTAGGAGTTGAAGGCCTGCCTCAATTACATAAAGAGGTCAGGACTAGCCTGGGCTAAATGAGACCTATTTTTAAAAATAATTTTTATTTAACTTTATGTGCATTGGTGTAGAGGTGTCAGGTCCCCTGGAACTGGAGTTACAAACAGCTGTGAGTGGCCATGTGGGTGCTGGGAATTGAACCCCAGGTTCATCTGGAAGAGCAGCCAGTGCTATTAACTGCTGAGCCTTCTCTCCAGCCCAACCTGGTTTTTTGTTGTTGTTGTTTATAATGAATTTAAAGTCAGCAAGATGGTTCAGTGGTTGAGAGTTCTTCCACCAAGGCTAATGGCTTGAATTCCGCCTCTGGAATTCCCTTGGTGGAAGGAGAGAATCAAGTCCCACGAGTTGTCCTCTGACGTCTGTACACTTGCTGTGTTATTCTGTCACGCTCACCACACACAGAATGTTGTGGAATATTAGTTTAAGATGCATTACATTTGTTTATGTTGTGGCACATGCCTTTAATCCCAGCACTTAGGAGGCAGAGGCGGGTGGATCTCTCTGAGAAATCCAGAGAAGAGAGGGAGGAGTGAGAAAAGGAGGAGAAGAGGGAGGACTCAAGGGGCCAGTCACACAGCCACAGAGCCACAGAGCCACACAGCCACACAGCCACAGAACCACACATCTTCACAGCCACAGAACCACACATCTTCACAGCCACAGAGCCACACAGCCACACATCTTCACATTTTCACAGCCACACAGCCACACAGCCACACAGTAAGAAGGAAAGATATGCAGAATTAAGAAAGGTAAAAAGCCCAGAGGCAGAATGTAGTTAAGGAGAAATGGGGTAATTTAAGAAAAGCTGGCTTGAAACAAGCCAAGCTAATGCCAGGCATTCATAAGTAATAATAAGTCTCGGTGTATTAATTTGGGAGCTGGGTGGAGGGCTCCAAAAAGTAAAAACCAAAAACAAAACAAAACAAAAACTATAACAGAGTAAATAAATAGATGTAAAAAAATTAGAGAGAGAGAAAAACCCCAAATCCCAAAACAAATAAAATTCATGTTCATATTTTGGAGCTCAGTGAACATTTGTGCAGTCCCTAGCATTTTGTAGTACCCTAAACACCTATGCCTATCTGCCTGGTGGAAAAAATTATCCCAGTGGAGGCTTCTGATCTTTATCCAGCTGGAGACCACTGTTTGGACTGAACTGGGTGCTTAGAGAAGCAGATAGACCCCAAAGTCAACCAGGGCTACAAAAGCAGAGGGCCCTGGTCTACTGGAGTCATCACAGTAAAGAATTCTGTCTGGTTTGGTCCTTACAAAACAGAAGCAGAAATGGCTGGGAGTCACAGCACCCAAGGCCCTGGCTTCAACCCGAGGACTAGAGCTAAGCAAAGTTGGATGATTGTTTTCTCCCGTTCTGCTTCCTGATGCCTGCCTTACAGTCAGGGTTTCTCCTCTTGTTCTGTTTGTCTTTACAAGACCCACTGTTCTGCTACTACCAGTGTGAGTCTGCACTCTATTTATGGGATGGGGGCAGTCTGTTTATGAATCACGAAGGAAAGCAAGTTAGATCTATGAGTGACTTTGTTGTTACTTTGTCTTTAATTTTTTTATATTCTCTTTATTTATGTGGGGGGTATACATGCCATGGTGTGTTGAGGTCAGAGGACAGTGTGTGGGACTTGCCTCCTTCAACTTCGTGGGTCCCAGGGATCAAACTCCATGGATCAGTCTTGGCAACAGGCCTTTACCCACTGAGCCGTCTCTCCCTAGGAATTTTTGTCTGGCGGCAGGATGTTGTCCCCTGGGACATTTTCCCTGGTAACACTTAACTAGTCTCCTCTTTCTCAGGTTTCCAGCCTACAGCCCCTTTTCATATTGCCCTCTGTTAGCTTAACCTGCTTTTGAACTCACATTGGGTTTCTGAGTGTGCCACAGGCTGAAAATTCATGGATCACTCTTTCAGTTCGGGTTTATTGAGCCCTACTGTGTGGCAGCCATTGCATCAGCCAGTGAAGGGAGAAAAAGGTGAAGTGGCTTCTTGTGGGAGCCGAGTGAGCCCTGAGTGAATGAATGTAAGGAGCGCACAGAGCCAAGGAGGTCCGAGGGAATTGTAGTGCTGACAGGGCACAACAATGCCTCAGACCCAAGGAAACTGGCAAAGCCTTCCTCCCCACGAGGCTCAGAAGAATGGCCAAGCTTTTCTCCCGTCACAATACTACTTTGAGCAGAGTGTGAAAAAACTGCAGCACTAAGTAAGCCCTCCTTCTGTGCCTTGGGTAACAGACACACCGAGCTTCCCAAGTTGTGTAGTTCATGCCCACCACCAGAGCAAGCGCAAACCCCCTGGCCCCAGGTTTTCTGTAAGCGCATCTGAGTGTCTGTCCTTTCGTCATTCCCTCATTACCCCAGTCAGGTTTCCAGGACCAAGACATAGCCGTGTAGGACACACTGGTTCCCAGCACTCATGCCAGGTCTTATGTTCAATCCCCAGCAATTCTCTTTGCCCTCAAAAGGAACTGTTCTGAGTCCAGGGAGGAGGAAGACAGACAAACTGTGTAAGGAGAGCTCAAGGCAAGCTGCACTCTTAGAGCAAACCCGGGGAACACAGGCCACAGTGAGGGCGCCCTGTCAATGGTGCACAGGCTGTGGAAACAGTGTTGAGCGAGGTAGGCTGTCTGTGGTCAGACGAGGGAGACAAGTGAACGAGTGTCAAGCAAAACACTCAGGTAACTTGGTCACTGCTAGGCTGATAGCATGCTGTGCAACTGCTCTGTAGAATAAGGTGACTGGAACGCACACACACGGTCTACCCAGGCATTTCCACCCCAAGAAAACCCACCCAAGTGTAACCTGGTAGGAGGCTAGGTGTGATGGCCCACATCTTTAATCCCTGGACTCTGCAGGGAAGCAGAGGCCTAGTCTACATAGCAGGTTCCAGATCAGCCAGCCAGAGCCACGTAGTGAGATTCTGTCTCAAAAAGGAAAAAAAACCCAAAAAACAAAAAACAGGGACAGGGGACTGAATACCTGTCAATGGACAGTGATTTTTGCCAATTTGAATGATCTCTAAAATAGAAAGTGAACTAGAAATTCATAGCAGTGGGCTATAGGTGTTATATACTGACAAGCAAAAAAAATCTTCACAATGGTTTCATTAGTAAAAAATATACACATCTATGTGTATCTATTACTCAAGCTGAAGAGAAAGAAGAACCTATTAGGTTCGTTATTTTAGCAAATATATCTGGACAGGTGTGGGGGTTCAAAGAGGAGGGTAGAAGTATGTTCAAAGTAAGCCTGGCTTCCATAATGAATTCTAGGCCAGCCAGAGCTACACAGTGA